GAAATGATAATACATTCTAAGGTCCTGCTGCCACACGCCAAATCACGAGTAAAATGATCGATCAGTCACACTCCTCTTTTATTTATTTATTTATTTATTATTTATTATTATTTTTGCAGAAGTAACCTGGCCTCCGTTGGAGAGATTACACGAAGAGGTCCGACTTTATTTACGTAAATTGCGGAATTCATCAAATCAAATTCCTAAAGAGCTAAATACGTTGAGAAGTGTGTTGGAGGACACGATACCTGTGGCTGAAGATGCTGAGCGATATCACGACGACATCATGGTAAAGATATGGATTGCCGAAATGAACGATGTGCTTTATGATACTGGGGATATATTTTGGAAGATGAAGTATGGCATGTCACTCGGGCAAAGTGTAGAGGTCCAATCCAGTGCCAACAAGCCATGGAAACTCATCCCTAATTTGTTTAACAAGATTTCAAGGTTTATGCATTCTTATCGAGGAAAAGGGATGGTTTCTTCCAAGGTGAAGGATAGAACTGTTAGATTAGAAAAAATTCTTGGTGAAGGAAAGCAGTTATTAAAAGGAATTCCTGATGAAAGAACGCAGCCTGGCCTCCAAAGCACATTAACTACGCCTGGTACCATTCTATCTCTGTTTGAATTTGCTATTTTTCTAGGTTTCTTTCTTTAAGCATTTACATCGGGGGAGAGTCATCATCCCATTACCTTTTTTTATCACTTTTAATAAATTTAGTTTAACTTTTTAATTTTTAAAATATAAATTTTAAATAAAAATTTAATAATTTGTATATTGATTAAAAATTTATTGTGATTATATAAAAATGCTTAACAAAAATTATATATGGAGATAAAAAAATTTTAAGTATTATTTATATAAATTATTAGATCTTTATTTAAAATTCATATTTTAAAAATTAAAAAGTTAAACTAAATCTCTTAAAACTAAAACGGAAGGAAAATTTATTTAACCTATAAATATAAATTTTTAAGGAGATTCCCCTCTCCTATACATAGAACTAATAAAAATTCTCTAAAGTTACAACAAAAAAAAGTTTTTAACTTATACAAAAAATAATAAAATAAGATAAAAAAATGCTCCATATTTTTATTTGATTGCCCCACTCATTAAATTAAGGTTTTTTTTTTTAAATTGTCTCACTTTTTATTTTCAGAAGACATTAAATGCTCCTATTCCAAGTTCACACATGTTACTCTAAACTATTCAGAAATGAGAAATGCTTTTATTTGGGATAAACAAAGGTATTTCAAGCCTTGATCTTTATATTTGTAGTTGCTCCGTAAGATATTCTTTTAATTTT